TACCACACACCTGGTCAGCTGACATCTCGTATCGCTCTTGTTTATTACGCAACTCATAATGGATAGATCCTTCAGTTTAAAGACTGTGTGAAATATATCAATAGTTCAACAGCGCAATGCACTGTGCAATCTCGGAAGTCAGATGAACACATTGTGTATTATATAGAACCAAATATATAGTTGTAGATTTACCATCTTGAATGTAATATCTCTAATTTTAGGCTTGCACCGGTACCAGCATTACACATCTTGGCAAACCTGTTTTGAAGGGTTACCAGGTACAATTTTGGAGCTGAAATAAAAATTTATATACGGCATGTCAAATGTGACATCTTACATCCCAACGTCATATATGAAATTATTTTTAAATCAAACAAGATGAAGTGTTTCTTCATGGCCACTATTTTTTTTAAATTCCTGATTATGTCGTACTAGATGACACCGAAAGTCTGTTCAGACGCTTCACAACTTTCCCACACGATATTTGTATTACTAACTTACATGTACTCATACACATGTTTCATTCATATTCCTTGTTTACAGATTTTTTTGTATAAGTTTAAACTTTATCCCATTTTTATCAAAATAAATGTTGCACAATTGTATACATTACTATAAAGAGACAGTGTATATAAATGTATGTGCATTGTACATGTACACCATTTACCAATTCTCTGACATAAAACTTGGAACATGAAACTCTTTGTGGCATTTCTTTTATATTTAACTATCACAGGACTTTGCATATATATACATGTATCATATATATTTCATGGTTCTGTTGTTATGCATACTTGCCAATTCACCAACTGCCCGCCCTATTTTGGCAAGAGTCTTCCGGATTTTGGACCATACAATTTAGCATTTTCAAGCAGTGAATTTTCTAAACTATTTTTACTTTTTAAGACTTGATGATTTGATCTATATTTACGCATACACACCTTTTCTTTAAGTTTTTAATTCTGAACACATGCTATAATCTCCCTCCTGGAAATTTCAAAAAGTTGACAAGTATGAATATTTGAACCTGTTGTTGCCATCAAATCACCAGTGTAATTACCAAAGTGCAAGTTAACGATGGAGTGAATCCTGCTTTATCTACTGTTTTGCATTGCCTCTTGTCAGTTGTATAACTACAGTGTATATAGATGGGGCAGGGCCTCCCCACACACAATGACTACAGATATACACACACCTGCATATCCACATGCACAAGCAATCACTCCAGGCAATATTGACCTACTATTAACATATATAACAGCATACAAATTATACACCTGTCTGTTTATAGTGGTACACTAGGATACCATATTTATTCTGATAAACACACCCCTTGGGTTTCATTTGTAGCCATGCGTGTGCATGAAGCTGGTAAATTAACAGCTTAATACTTTCATGAAAAAGAAACTAGAAGAATGGAAATGAAGTATTATAATAGAACTGTCTATAGTGATACACACTACTTGAAATATTATTGAAACCCCTGACAGTACTGTAACATAATGGAATTTCAATCAACACAGCAATACCATAATTATCCTAACAAAATGGAAATTTCAAGTCATGTTACAGATAATCAGAGAACAATTTCAGAACATGAAGTATTTCAGTTTACCTTCAAGTTGAATAAATAAAATATAAAATACACTAAGTTTTATGGCAGTTGAATTGATCCTCCAGAAAATCCTACATTCTTCAAAAATGGAGAAAAGCTAATTGATTTAGATTATTTGATATACTTGCCACAACTTTTCCTAACTTAGGAAGGTGCAATTCACAATATAAAGTACCCAGAAAGAAAAAAGCTTACAATGAAGGAGGGTATATATATATAGAATATATTTGTGAACTTTATGAATTCTATCATTCAACAATCTTTAATTGTATTATAGCATACCCACGTGCACACTGACTGTACAAAAAATGTCATCCAGCAGCATAGGTATGTAATCTATCAACCTGAAGTAACGACATTTCCATGTAAATAAAACAAATATATACCCACATGTATATATATGGGGCAAAGAAGTAATTCCAACAGTGTGGACAAGTTTAGGTTGTCAAATTTTCGGAGCGATCCGCTCTATATTACTTCTTTGACCCACACATGTGTATATATATATACGTGTACCTCACCATCACAAAACCTGAATATTTAATGATCTAACTTTCCGGCTATCAATATTTGTTGTAAGGATTGGTATATGCTAATTGCAGTCTAATTAGTACAGCTATCATATGTACAGCTGGAATATATTGATTTCCTGTTCAGGTGTTGGTCTTTAAGCTTAATACTGATATAGTTATAAATACTGTAATCAACCTAACAAGTACCCTTGGCAATTAGCAATCTGGCATCGCACAAGTTAAAATTGTGGAAAACTGTATTAATTACTCTTTCTTTAGTTCTCTCCTCTGTAATTCGGGTGATATACAGTAATTAACCTATGAGGGAATTTTCTTGCTTAGATTTTCCTTCCTGGTCACGTTTCGTTGCGATACTGAGCATTTCCATTTCCTATATCTAGCTATTTCGGCAAAGTGTTAGATCACCAAGAACAAGTCAAATTTACAACACATTACACTGTTATGTTTTTGTTTCCAATATTCAAATACTGAACAAATGTAGTTCTATAAAATGCATTTTAAGATTGTTTTATACGGAATACATCTTTATTGAAAATAAGAAACATAAATACAGTAGTATCCCAAAGTCTACCTGTTTCTATTTTGAGAACTAGCTTCCTGGCAGATTTTGAAAAAAATCTAAGCTTACCAGCTATTATATAATTAGGTCAAATATGATAACCGAGACAGTTACGTTAATTTGTGTAGTATCAACATATATATTTGATACCATTACCATAATCTAAATGTACCTAATTACCAATTAGCTCAGCTGCTAATCAGTTTTCTTTGGATTATCATATAAATATATGGGAATTACCCTGCAACCATATATTTTTAAAGTCATTTTTCAGAAACACATGATCAGTGATAATATCTAACGTATCCATGTAATATCATATAAGTAACCACAAAAAGTTATATAGACTAATGTTACATTCGTCACTAACTCGGCTCATTATAATTGTATAGCCTATAGGTATACATCAATATTTGCACAAAAATGTTTACTTTGTAACAAATGTCAACATTCCAATGATATTCTGTTTCATTTTATTATTCAAAGAAAAAAAAATTCCTCTGAAGAAATTCTAAAAAGAGTTCACCTTTTCAACTACAAACTCTAATGTGCAAGAAACATGGAAATACGTTTTACAATTCTAGCAAACAAAATATTTTAATGACTGATCATTATCATAGGATCATGTACCTGTTAAGTGTATATATACAGAACAATAAATATACAATAGTACAGGTAAGTTATATTAATTTGCAGGTAAGTCACCTTGACATGATGAACTACTGTACTATATACTACAAGATAAAATTGTAAGTACTAACAAGTCTTGGGGTTAGGGGTTGTGTTATTCCCTTGTGAACCAAAAAGTTAAAAATTCCTAAATTAAAACCTGCACTTACTGATATATATACTACACATGCAATAATGACATGCAATCTACATAATTGTGGAAATACCCCAAATAGATACACACATATATACCTGTATGTATGTATCAGTTTATTAGATAGATTTCATGCTATAAATAGCACCTATAAGTTACACCTGCTAAACAGACATGGTGTAATATCTATATATGATGTTTACCTGACAATCTTGTATCAATTACATTTTTTGTAATACAGGTAAATGGTATATCGGGGTGTTAAATAAAGTAAAGGACTTACGTACGACTTAACGTGGATCGATGTGTTAGACCTGATATTCAGCTTTTAAATTAAATGTTAAAAGATACGTCAGCTAGCTCAACTTGTGACATTTTGTGTATTACTTCTGTATAAATTATCAAGTACATCTACTACCCGACTAAACATTAAATGTGTATCATGACTTCATATTAAATGTGTATGGACACACTGGATATATAATGACATAACACAGGAACGGCCTTTCAACTTTGATAATACAAAGTTAAATGTTTAAATTGAAACTTATGCCTCAAGCTAAATGTTTGAATTGACGCTTATGGCTAAATGGAAACGTGTATTTTACAATTGTTTGTCAGTATATTCAACAGGAAACTGTGTCATTTAATTTTTTATGCAAGTTTTTTGACAGATCTGATTAACAATGTATAAATCTAGGCATTCTAAGTTTATTATATAATTACCATACATTGAATGTTGTGTTTATGAAAAAAAAACATGCAGCAGTTTCTGTATTACTGACCAAAAAAAATGAGACAACTCATATTGTGTTTTTTTCCCTCATTGATTTGCAATGGGGTTTTTCATGGAGGAGGGAGGGGGGCCGGTTGATGACTCATTATGACTTGGGTATGCGTAATTAATGTAAAATGATCTTCGATTATCTCATTAATACGGACACGTTATTTGTAGGATAACATACAGTTTTTAGTCTCTTTTTTTTTGAGAATAGTATAATTCTGCATGGTTGTCAATTATTTTTCTTTAAGTACTTATCATTTTTTAATTTTATTTTACTTAAATATTTTTTTTTCAAATTTATGTCTCGAGTGAAAACGGAACAATGCATGATGCATCGGTCGCGATCGTGACCCCTGAAATATCGTACGTGGCGTTATATTATCATAGCTCGCATGCAGAAGTATCTTATTTTTGGGAATATGAAAATCAAATATTAGAGTACAGTAAAACAGTTTCCATATGAAACAAATTTCTGACAGATATCATAATCACATTTCTGACAGGTGGGTGTCGCTAACGACGGGAGCGGACATGTGTTTATCTACACAGATATAGCACGTGCTCCATAATTAGAATTTTATGGACAGGTGCGATTATCTGTAATCTCGATCGTAACAATCCGTTTAATTTCTAAGTTTGGCGAAATAATATACACCTGAAACAATACTAATAAAAACGAAACTTACTGTTTTTAGACTGTTTCCCGAGTTTGTTAAGAATCTTCTGGAGACCATGCGAATCTCTGTCTTTCACTGCCTGGATAATATCATGGTCTTTCCCCATTTTCGGCGATGTTTTCCTTCCAAATTTATTTATTTCTTTCAGTAATATCCACCGATGTCTAAACGCAAATATTTAAACATTTAACCCGTTCTAAAAATGCCATGCACGAACCGAAGAAGCACAGCGATCGAATGTAAACAAAACGTGGCTCTGTCTCTAAATAGCATTGACCCTGCTTAGGCGCAAATCTGTGACTCAAGCATGACGTACGATGACTGGGAACACGCGATCTCGAGAAACAACATTACAAGTAAATTGTAAAAACAATCTAACTGTACATAACGATTTGAATCCTGCAAGTATGTGTTAATCCATTCACTGTTTTACTCGATCCACGTACACTTTTTCAAGGTCTGTATATATTCCGGTCTGTTGTTATTTTACACACACACCTGGCTGTGTGAAGCCTCAGGAGTTATTTGCGTCTGCGTGACTGTGGCCAATCAACGTTAAGATAACAGATTGGCGGCCAATAGAAACTTCTAATAGACTGTAAGAAAGGCTGGGCGGTCTGCTTTGATCTATAAAATTGCAATTAGTAGATCAATCTCCTACCTTAAGCTTGAGAAGATGGGCCGGAAGAGGAAATGTGTTGGAGACAATTTGTAGACACTAATCTGGAAAATCTGATGGATCAAGATATTGGACAACATCCTTACAGACTATATATATATTACATTATCGTTGAAAAACTTCTGTACCTATTCAGTACGTAACTGTTACAGATTGATTGATTTTGTTTGTTTGTTTGATTGATTGATTGATTGCGGTTTAGTATTTTCACGTTTTCGTAATACCACAGACTTAGATCTAATTCCGTAGTAATACATAGGGTTATGTGTTTAAGATTCAGTGCTGTAAAACCACGGACTTAGATAAAATCTAATTCCGTGTGTAAAACATCCTTTTTCCAAATATATAAAGTACGTCATTGAACTTTACAAAATTGCATTTCACAATTTGCTGAATTAGCTTTATAAAATATTGATACTTTTAATATAAGAAACTGTGATATTTAACTTTGAAAATGAAAATAAATAAATAAATAAAAGAGTTCGAAGATACTACTATTTCTTGGGAAACGACTCCCCCGACTAACAAATTGTCACTGCATATTTTTTAAGTCGGGATTTTCCCAATATATGTTTACCTCTTATTCCAATAATACGACCATGCGTGTACGGCCTTTGGTGTTTATTGACCAAAATCCAAGTGTTTTCTTCTCCAAAAATACACGTAGTCGGGCACGCGACAATACACACGCTACAAATTTATATATAAACAAACAAAATTGAACACGATTATGATTTAAAGAATGACATCAATCTCCACAGTTTTACCCGTAGGCTGTAGAAACGTCTGTGTACATGATGCAATGTTGTTGTGACAGACGATGCCAATATCTACTGGTGACAGATTGAAATCGACATCTGTGTATGTTGCGTCAGTCAGCCGGCAGTGTCAATGCGAAAAATAATCAAGAAATATGTTTCGCATTGACACTGCCGGCTGACTGACGCAGCAGTCTTGATTATTTGTAGTGATAAAACCATGTAAGTGTTGGAATTTTACCAAGGAAGATCGTTTCAAGTAAAGGTTCAAAGTATAATTAACTTAAACCTATCTGCTTTAATTTTATATGCGAAATAGATATATTTCTGGATAAAAATGTGTAAAATCAAAGACTTTTCTAATTCCGTTGTAAAATAGTTATATTTTAATTTCAAATACGAGACTAGTAACCTTTTGCAGCAACTTACAATGATGTTCATACATAATGTACATGTCTTTCTTTTTTTTAGGACATCTGACCAATGGTATAATAAAATTAATTCATCTGAAATAAAATGCGACGTATAGTTTCATTGCTAGCACATATGACCACTTAGCTAATTGTTTTATAAACAGTTAGCTGCACCACAGGGACATGAGAATTAAAACACTTATTTTGATATTTTTTCGGTTTTTACACGTTTATTGGGTGATACACACTGTAGATCAAAGACGCCCGACGACCACATCTCCATTTCTGAGAACGTTAGATAATCCACAGACTTAAAATGTAAATATCTAATTCGAGGATACCACTTATATTTTAAAAAAATCAAAAAAATCCGGACTTACTCCACTTTTGGACTATTCATCCAAAAGTTTCTCCTCAACATCAAAAATAAACATTTTGATTGGAATTAAAATAATTAAACCCCAATGATTATAAAATGGAAATATTTTAAGTGAGAAGAAATTGCATTTGTCCAAACCTTTGTTAGCATTTCTGACCTTGCGTCCTCACGCACGTGAAATACACGAACTTCAGGCTTCGCGTCCCATCAAGTAACGACGAACTACAACTGTATTAGCCTCGTCTGTCAATACACTTCTAATATAATCATAGGTGTATACGAACCGCGGCGCAGATTGAGATAAGATCACACAATTTATCTCCCTTCGTTCATTCCAATTCTAATGCGTGATAAGAATCGGTTAGTAGGACTTGTTGTCACACCGAACGGAATGAGGAGAGAAAAAGGCGGGGTATTTTAATACTTTCTTCCCACATCACGCATTTTTATACAACTTTTAGCAATTATTATTTTTTGAAATCACTCGTTACTATGACACAAGACTAAAATCAGCATACTTGCCGTATAATGTGTTAAATTCATAGTTATTAACACCTTCCGTAAATAGATTCTATAGATACATTTGTATTCCTGTATCGATTAAACGCAAAACGTGAATGAGTTCTGTAGCGGAACTAATTTTGTCACAGTAGTCTTTTTTTATCACTAAAGGACACGGGCCCAATTCAATGAGGGATGCATCCATGCGGAAGTGGGATGAGGTCAGATCGGCAGAATGACGGAAGTACCAAATGAAGAGCCAGGACCACGAGATCTACCTCCCAAGTACCTTTATATTTTCATTGAAAAATGTCATCGGTGGAATATTGAAGTTATACGAAGTAAAATGAATTTAGTTGTGGCCCAAAAACGTTGCTCTAAAATTCGATCGGAGCTAGATATACGTCTATACCAGCTACATCTGTTTACAATAAGTTTATATTCTCTGTGACGTCATTGATATTCTTAATTGTGTCGTCATATATGGAATGTAATTATGACGTCAATATTGCTGTGCTTCACAACCAGTTTGCTGTTGTACGGTAGTTTTATGCACCGTTTAACAAGAAGTAAATACCAAGAAAATCAACACCTAACCTCAACTATGGAAGGTGAGTTGATGCCAGTTTTGTATTTATATATTATATAATTATTTTATCATATTACTTATTTAATCGGATTACTAAATACATAGTCATGTACTGGGCATTATCTCACTTTGTAGAGCGGGAAATTGTCGCGCGTTTAATTTTCTTCTTTTTATTTTTTTTTCCTTGAGAGGTCTTACTAAACACTTGATATGATATTTGAAAAAAATCCTGAAATAACCAATTGGGTGGAGGGTGGGGGGTGGGGGGGTGTAAGATGAAGAATCAAATTCGTTAGGGATACAAAAACCAAAGTTTTGTGAATTCACGGCGTTTCCTGTTATTAAGACGACGCCATATTTGCGAAGATTTTGATTTGGAATTGGATCAAAACCATTATTTGTGTCTTGTTTGATTGCTGTAGAGTAAAAACTTCGCTACGGATATGTGAATCCTCTATGGGTTTTTTTCTTCTGTATAAAATAAGGACCAGGGTGATATAACCACTTAAAAGTAAGATGTATCGTATAAATGTGACAAGTATTTTTGATCTATTTGAAGCTGAATTACTTGAGAGATCATGCTACGTCAAACTGAAACAGATAGCACCAGACCCACAAACCGGATATAACTACAGTAAGTACTTAAGGGTATATGCTACCTTACTGTATACTTAAGGGTATATGCTACCTTACTGTAACACATCTACTGTACAAGAGAGTTTCATATTACTTTAGTAATACACTTTGTAAATGATTAAAACGTATAGAACTTAGCCATTACCCGTCGTGTCATGCCATTATTGGTAACTACGACGTATACAATGTAAATGGAAATGCAGCCTGATGCCAATAATTAGAAATAAGGTTTTGAAAGTTTGTAATATTTTACTAAATGTAGAATGTGCCATTGTCAACCCTGCTCCGGCCACTAGAGATGACCTGATGAACCCAGCATGGTTAAGATATCTTCCACATTCTCCAAGTAAGGATTCTTCCCGGGATAATTTTTATCTAACATTAAAACCCAGTCCTCGTTAACGTGGACACTTCAGTTTCGAGAGAGTCCGCAAGATAAAACAGTTCAACTGTGTTATACTTTAATTCTTTCCAACCAAATGATGTTTTTAGTGTTTTGTTTGTTCAGAAAATAAAATTTAAACCGAGTTTTCGCATATTTAAAATTAACATCATATTTAAATGTATTCATTTCTTTTAAATGTTGATTGACACATGAAAAGTGACATTGATTTTACTGGAAATGTCCTTCCTACGTATCATTTTATGTTATTATTTTTTATATTTATTTACTTGCAGAGTATTTGGAAAGATTGTGCTACATCAAACTTAAACAGATTGCACCAAATCCACAGAGCGACTTCAGCCACAGTAAGTGATATACAACTTACAACTTAATAAAAGTGTTCCTCAGTGATTTATAGACAACCACAGTAAGTGATATACAACTTACAACTTAATAAAAGTGTTCCTCAGTGATTTATAGACAACCACAGTAAGTGATATACAACTTACAACTTAATAAAAGTGTTCCTCGGTGATTTATAGACAACCACAGTAAGTGATATACAACTTACAATTTAATAAAAGTGTTCCTCGGTGATTTATAGACAACCACAGTAAGTGATATACAACTTACAATTTAATAAAAGTGTTCCTCGGTGATTTATAGACAACCACAGTAAGTGATATACAACTTACAATTTAATAAAAGTGTTCCTCGGTGATTTATAGACAACCACAGTAAGTGATATACAACTTACAATTTAATAAAAGTGTTCCTCGGTGATTTATAGACAACCACAGTAAGTGATATACAACTTACAATTTAATAAAAGTGTTCCTCGGTGATTTATAGACAACCACAGTAAGTGATATACAACTTACAATTTAATAAAAGTGTTCCTCGGTGATTTATAGACAACCACAGTAAGTGATATACAACTTACAATTTAATAAAAGTGTTCCTCGGTGATTTATAGACAACCACAGTAAGTGATATACAACTTACAATTTAATAAAAGTGTTCCTCGGTGATTTATAGACAACCACAGTAAGTGATATACAACTTACAATTTAATAAAAGTGTTCCTCGGTGATTTATAGACAACCACAGTAAGTGATATACAACTTACAATTTAATAAAAGTGTTCCTCGGTGATTTATAGACAACCACAGTAAGTGATATACAACTTACAATTTAATAAAAGTGTTCCTCGGTGATTTATAGACAACCACAGTAAGTGATATACAACTTACAATTTAATAAAAGTGTTCCTCGGTGATTTATAGACAACCACAGTAAGTGATATACAACTTACAATTTAATAAAAGTGTTCCTCGGTGATTTATAGACAACCACAGTAAGTGATATACAACTTACAATTTAATAAAAGTGTTCCTCGGTGATTTATAGACAACCACAGTAAGTGATATACAACTTACAATTTAATAAAAGTGTTCCTCGGTGATTTATAGACAACCACAGTAAGTGATATACAACTTACAATTTAATAAAAGTGTTCCTCGGTGATTTATAGACAACCACAGTAAGTGATATACAACTTACAATTTAATAAAAGTGTTCCTCGGTGATTTATAGACAACCACAGTAAGTGATATACAACTTACAATTTAATAAAAGTGTTCCTCGGTGATTTATAGACAACCACAGTAAGTGATATACAACTTACAATTTAATAAAAGTGTTCCTCGGTGATTTATAGACAACCACAGTAAGTGATATACAACTTACAATTTAATAAAAGTGTTCCTCGGTGATTTATAGACAACCACAGTAAGTGATATACAACTTACAATTTAATAAAAGTGTTCCTCGGTGATTTATAGACAACCACAGTAAGTGATATACAACTTACAATTTAATAAAAGTGTTCCTCGGTGATTTATAGACAACCACAGTAAGTGATATACAACTTACAATTTAATAAAAGTGTTCCTCGGTGATTTATAGACAACCACAGTAAGTGATATACAACTTACAATTTAATAAAAGTGTTCCTCGGTGATTTATAGACAACCACAGTAAGTGATATACAACTTACAATTTAATAAAAGTGTTCCTCGGTGATTTATAGACAACCACAGTAAGTGATATACAACTTACAATTTAATAAAAGTGTTCCTCGGTGATTTATAGACAACCACAGTAAGTGATATACAACTTACAATTTAATAAAAGTGTTCCTCGGTGATTTATAGACAACCACAGTAAGTGATATACAACTTACAATTTAATAAAAGTGTTCCTCGGTGATTTATAGACAACCACAGTAAGTGATATACAACTTACAATTTAATAAAAGTGTTCCTCGGTGATTTATAGACAACCACAGTAAGTGATATACAACTTACAATTTAATAAAAGTGTTCCTCGGTGATTTATAGACAACCACAGTAAGTGATATACAACTTACAATTTAATAAAAGTGTTCCTCGGTGATTTATAGACAACCACAGTAAGTGATATACAACTTACAATTTAATAAAAGTGTTCCTCGGTGATTTATAGACAACCACAGTAAGTGATATACAACTTACAATTTAATAAAAGTGTTCCTCGGTGATTTATAGACAACCACAGTAAGTGATATACAACTTACAATTTAATAAAAGTGTTCCTCGGTGATTTATAGACAACCACAGTAAGTGATATACAACTTACAATTTAATAAAAGTGTTCCTCGGTGATTTATAGACAACCACAGTAAGTGATATACAACTTACAATTTAATAAAAGTGTTCCTCGGTGATTTATAGACAACCACAGTAAGTGATATACAACTTACAATTTAATAAAAGTGTTCCTCGGTGATTTATAGACAACCACAGTAAGTGATATACAACTTACAATTTAATAAAAGTGTTCCTCGGTGATTTATAGACAACCACAGTAAGTGATATACAACTTACAATTTAATAAAAGTGTTCCTCGGTGATTTATAGACAACCACAGTAAGTGATATACAACTTACAATTTAATAAAAGTGTTCCTCGGTGATTTATAGACAACCACAGTAAGTGATATACAACTTACAATTTAATAAAAGTGTTCCTCGGTGATTTATAGACAACCACAGTAAGTGATATACAACTTACAATTTAATAAAAGTGTTCCTCGGTGATTTATAGACAACCACAGTAAGTGATATACAACTTACAATTTAATAAAAGTGTTCCTCGGTGATTTATAGACAACCACAGTAAGTGATATACAACTTACAATTTAATAAAAGTGTTCCTCGGTGATTTATAGACAACCACAGTAAGTGATATACAACTTACAATTTAATAAAAGTGTTCCTCGGTGATTTATAGACAACCACAGTAAGTGATATACAACTTACAATTTAATAAAAGTGTTCCTCGGTGATTTATAGACAACCACAGTAAGTGATATACAACTTACAATTTAATAAAAGTGTTCCTCGGTGATTTATAGACAACCACAGTAAGTGATATACAACTTACAATTTAATAAAAGTGTTCCTCGGTGATTTATAGACAACCACAGTAAGTGATATACAACTTACAATTTAATAAAAGTGTTCCTCGGTGATTTATAGACAACCACAGTAAGTGATATACAACTTACAATTTAATAAAAGTGTTCCTCGGTGATTTATAGACAACCACAGTAAGTGATATACAACTTACAATTTAATAAAAGTGTTCCTCGGTGATTTATAGACAACCACAGTAAGTGATATACAACTTACAATTTAATAAAAGTGTTCCTCGGTGATTTATAGACAACCACAGTAAGTGATATACAACTTACAATTTAATAAAAGTGTTCCTCGGTGATTTATAGACAATCACAGTAAGTGATATACAACTTACAACTTAATAAAAGTGTTCCTCGGTGATTTATAGATAACCACAGTAAGTGATATACAATTTACAATTTAATGAAAGTGTTCCTCGGTGATTTCTAGACAACCACAGTAAGTGATATACAATTTACAATTTAATAAAAGTGTTCCTCGGTGATTTATAGACAACCACAGTAAGTGATATACAACTTACACTTTAATAAAAGTGTTCCTCGGTGATTTATAGACAACCACAGTAAGTGATATACAACTTACAATTTAATAAATGTGTTCCTCGGTGATTTATAGACAACCACGGAAAATTGTGATAAGTACATAAATCAAAGAAATTCTCAGAAATTTGAAGTACTAACATGATTTATGACAACTGATTTCAGGGGCCATTGTCCACCCTCCTCCGGCCACAAGAGATGAACTGATGACCCCAGCATGGTCAAGATATCTTCCGCATATACCAAGTAAGAAATAATATTGAGAATCATCCGTGTCTTTAACATTGCAGATGGTCAAAACATGGTAAAAATCTAACAGTTTCTTTACTGTCAAACAGGTTTTAAAAATAATACACTTTTCTCGGATTTATTTTTTGAGATGGAAGCAAATCCTACACGCTTACGCCGACCAAAAGTATTCTGTTTGAAATAAATCAATATTTTAATACGATATCAGTTACCAATATCAGACCATACACTAACCTTTTTTCCTATGACAACAGAACCTAAATCGCCCCACGGCTGGGTCAGCTGCCCGCCCCACGAGGAGGATGCTGAGTTGAGGGAGAAAAGTGCCACCCGGAACAAAGTATGGTACGACCTGTTCTACAAGAAGGATTCCTCCAAGACTGAAAACGGTATGTCATGTTTAATTACTTAACTTCAGGATTATCAATACATTTCTGCACATAAACATCGTTGTAAGCAAAAATCTCTTCCGTCTCATTTATTAATATTCTGCATCCATACAATTTAATTCCAAATATTTCATTTCATTCTCACATTTTGACAATTGTTTGTTATAACATGATTTTGTGATACAGAAATTACACTGACATATATCACACAAATGATCTTGGTTTGATTCCAGAATCATTTTGTTTCAACGTTATGAAGAAACACAGAACGACGAAATCTCTACACGACATCTTACTCACAGTAAGTAAATGAGCAGCATTTCTTCTCGTTTCTTATTATAGTCCGGTCACACTCTACGACTTAGTAGAGTTATATTAAGGATCCATGTCCCACAGGAGACAAAACACTAGAGAGTTCCACTAGTACATGGAGTAACCTCCCCTTCCTTTCGGTTTGGATGTACTACCATTGACCCTTGACCCTTGACCCTTGAGCTAGTTCAGTTGGTTAGAGCGACAATGTAATGATTGGAGGTAAAAGTTCCGCTAGGTATGATTTAAAAAAACAATAATAAAAACTACAGTAATAGAAAATTCATACGCGGTTCCTTTTAGCAAAGTGTCGCAATCGTCGAATTCTGATATGGTCCCGGAAAAGTCATGCAATCTGCTTTAAATATTCTCAAAAAATTCAGCCATTCAATACTGATCTGAAGTAAAAATCTATATATTAACAAACTTTAGTCTTTGTCGTTTTAGCGTAATCCAAGTGATGACGTCATTGGCTCACCAGCCTCCGGCAGCTGCAGCGTCTGATTTGTCTTAAGAAGATACCACGTTTTTTTTATCTTCTGCTTATTCGAGATATTTAATTGCGACTAATAACAGATTGTTTATAGATATTTAACTGATCATTTAACTTGAAAAAAACCCCAATCATTTGAAAATATCTACAAAATATCCATCTTTTTGTTGAGGTGAACTTTACATAAACATATCTCTTTAGGAAGGGAAACTTATTTTTATTATTTTGACAAATATTGTACCCCGTCTTGATAGTCAAAATAAATCAGTGTCAACTGAAATCCGTTTACTGTTGTTTATGTGAGCTCAATGTTCCGTCTAACCAGTTACAGATATATTAAAAAACTACTGGGCAGACGATGTTTAGCTGCTCTCGTCCGACCAACGAAACACCATGTACGTGATAATTACCAGGAAAGATCGTTTGAAATAATGATAAAAGTATAACAAACTTAAACATATCTGCTTTAATTTTATATGCAAAGTCTGTTTATTTCTTGATGAAAATGTGTAAAAACACAGGCTCACCCGTTTCCGTGGTAAAACTTTGGTTTGGTTTGGTTTGGTTTATTATTGTTTAACGTTCTATCAACAGCTATGCTCATTTAAGGACGGACTCCCCTGGGTGCAAGATGCTTGCGTGCGTGTAGTGTATGCGTGTGTGTGTGTTTAGGGAGGCTGCGATATGTTCGTGTTTGTCTCCTTATGATAGCGCGGAACTGATGCCGACTTTCTAGTGCTACCTCACTAAAGCATAATGCCGGAGACACCCAGCAGGACACTTCACCCGGTCACTTCATACTTACAATGGGCGAACCAGTCGTCCCACTCCTAAATTGCTGAGCGTTAAGCAGGAGTAGAAACTACCATTTTTACAGACTCTGGTATGTCTCGGCCGGGGGACAGAACCCAAAGCCTTCCTCACAGGGGCGAACGCTCAACTTAAGGCCAAAAGTGAGGCAGTGTCAAGGGAGACATTAGGAAGAAGAAAGTTAAGAAAGATCATGCGATGTACATTTATTACGCCCTGTCGCAGGGACACCGTGGTAAAACAGCTACAGTGTATTTTCCAAATTAAAATACGAGACGGTAACCTTTTGCAGCGACTTACAAAACACCAAACTTTTGCAATTAACCAGCACAATTCGTTGAAACTTTCATATAATGGTTATGCAACTATGTTGAGTTGATTATTTGAAAATATAAGCATTCCGATAGTTTGAGGACTTTTTCGGAAAAAATAACCAAAAAAAAAATAGTTTTCGTTAATCTATTTTTTTCCGGTGTTTTTTTTTGTGTGTGTGTGGCATTGTCCGGAACAATAAAAACAATAAAAAAAAAATAAGAAAGAACCATTGCTAATTAACACTACAAATATTTTATGTGTCGCAAATATATAAAAAACGTTAGACAAAGTGTGTTTTATTGAAATTGTACGGATAAAAGTCATTATCTACAAGCTAAAAGCAAACAGGACACAAAGATTCATGCATATACACAATGACTTTATAATTTATTTATTTTACGTTCTACTTCTACAATCACTTTGATCCTGGTGAGAGTTGTCTTTCTTGAAAAGAATCGGAATTTTTAAAGAGGGATAACATTTACACAATGACAGTTATCTCTTTTTACATACATCAAAAATGATGAAAAAATTCAAATTTGTGATATCAAAATTATCAATTGTTCCTTTATGGAACCAAATTACTTTCAGTCATGTACACTTTGGACATAATTCCACAGCACGCTACCAGAGGCTATTGCATGGTATGCCGTTCTCACGTGCACTCACATATATTTTCATTACAAAAAAATGTTTTCACAGAGTAAGTAGACTTCATTTGTGAAAACGAGGGACATGAGAGTCAGACACATATTATACCTTTACGGTTTGTAGGGAGCATCATTACATTGTTATTGGGTGATAACTCACGACCACATTCCTATCCCTAAGAACATTAGATAATCCACAGACTTAAATGTTGATATCTAATTCTTGGATAATCTAACCATTGATATATTTAAAATTTCTTTAACGGTACTCGCTACATATCAGGAAATGTTTCAAATGTACAGCTTGGGTTCGTGAAGTTTTTAACAACATCTATGTAAATTTTGTATGCATGGGGAAGTTTGCAACGAGCAATGTGTTACCTTTGTAAACACATTGTACATGTGTGAATCCAACATGTCTGCCATGTCTGCCTTGTGGATGCTTTCTCAGACTTTTTCCGGACTCACTCCACACTCACTCCACTTGTACCATTAAAAAACACATATATACTTTGGATAAAGAGGACTTGTCCCTTATCCGCCAGGACTGAATATCATCCACAAGTTTCTCCTCAGCGGCAAAAATAAATCATCTTGATTAGATTTAAAATAATAACACCCCAAAGAATATATAACGGAGACATTATAAGCGAGAAGAAATAGCATCTGTCTAAACCTTTGATGGTATCAGGGGCGTTTCTAGGATATTTGAAATCAAATCTTTGGCCGAGTGGAGCGAGTCAAAAAAAAAATTGGACTTTTCTTTTGCTAAAAAACATAAAATAATTGTGAAATGCACTAATGTAACGGTTCCTGACTTGGAGCATGTATATTTTATAGTTAAAGTGTGAGGGTTTGACATTTTTTATGCCAAATTCTCTCCATTAATTGTCTATGGTATATTAAAATGAGAAACGAAATTTTACGGATCCCCCATCGGATGGGGGAATCAGTATAAAAAGAAATCAGAGTATGTGTTTAATTAATGAATATGATAAATTGACATATTCAATACAATATTAGCAGATAACGATAGTTTTGTTTTTTTGAAAAGGGGGGGGGGGCGTACGCCCATTACGCCCTCACCTTGACCCGCCCCTGGGTATATCTGACCGTACGTCCTCGTATGCACGTGAAATCCACACACTTCGGGATTCGCGTCCCACCAAATAACGACGAACCGCAACACATATTGAGATTAGATCACACGATTTGTCTCCCTTTGTTCATTCACCCCCATTCTAATTCGTCAACTTATAAGTCGCATGTTGTATTCAGTGGAAATAAGAATCGGTTACTGTGTTTAAGAGTTAATAAAAAAATGTTAGTTTTGAAGCCAGTCTCACCGGACGGAAAGAGGAGAGAAAATGTCGGATTATTCAAACCTCTACTCACATCAAACAATTTTGATACTTATAGCAACTCAAATAATCAGGCGTTTCTGATCAAATTTCTAAAAATGAAAATATACACAAAAAAATAAATCAATACACTTTCCGTATCATAGTTTCTTTTTATATGTGGAATCGGTAATTTTAAACTCAAACTTATTAACGCCTACCGTAAACAGATTATCCATGGTTAAAAAAACCCACTGTGAATGTCAGATGCAGTCTTTTTTAATAAGTAAAGGACTTGCGTTCCACACCCCGCATCAACCTGGGACGGGAGAAGGCGGATGACGGAGGTAGCGAATGAAGCCAAGACCACGAGATTTACCTCCCCTGGCCCTTTATATTTTCATTGAAAAAAAAAAAAAAAATCAAAATTCATGTCATCCGGGGAACATTGAAGTTATCATAAAATATGCAAAGTAAAACTGAACTTAGCTCTTTGTGGTCATAAAACGTTTCTCTTAAACTGGATCGGGCTTGATCCGTCAATATAAGCTACACCTGTTACAATAGGTTTGCGTTCTCTAAGACGTCATTGATATTCTTCATTATGTCGCCATATATGGAATGTAATTATGACGTCAATATTGCTGTGCTTCACAACCAGTTTGCTGTTGCGCGATATTTTCCTGCGGTGTTTATCAAGAAGAAGTAAACAAGAAAATCAACACCTCACATCAACTATGGAAGGTGAGTTGATGCCAGTAATTTATTTATATCTTATATAATTGTTTTATTGTATTACTCCTTAAATCTAGCCATGTTCTGGGCATTATATGGCCTACGATCCAATTATCGTAAAAGTATTTCACTGATTTCTTCATAAATAATTTGGACATCTTGTTCATAGGGATGTTTGAAACGTACAGGACATTGTTGTTTGTAAAATTTTACTAAATGTAGAATGTGATCTCCAGGTGTAATCGTCCATCCTGCTCCGGCCCAAGAGATGACCTGATGACCTCCGCATGGCTAAGATATCTTCCCCATTCCCATTGTAAGGATATCCGGGATGATTTGCATCTAAAATTAAAAACCTGTCGTCGTTCTTGTGGACACTTCGAGGGAGTCCGGATAAAGGAGTTCTACTATGTTATACTTAAATCTGTTCAGCTAAATTGTGGTTCTAATGTTTCGATTTGTTTAGAAGATCAATTAAAAATTAACATTCGCATGTTCAAAATTAAAATCCTTTTTAAATGTTCTTAAAATGTACACTGACACATGAAATGACCTACCTCTTACGATTTTGAGTTATTATTATCATTATTTACTTGCAGATTATTTGGAAAGATTAAGCTACATCAAACTCAAACATATTGCACCAAACCCACAGGGCGACTTCAACCACAGTAAGTGATATACAACTTAATAAGAGTGATCCTCCATGTTTAATAGACAAACACAGAAAGTAACGAACGTCATTGGGGTGTTTCCGACAAAAATAAAAGGAAATCTCAGAAGTTTGAATTTCTAACAGGGTTTATGACAACTTTTCAGGGGCCATTGTCCACCCTCCTCCGGCCACAAGAGATGACATGAAGACCCCAGCATGGTCAAGATATCTTCCGGATTTACCAAGTAAGAAATTATATTGAGAATCATACGTGTCCTTTACATTCCAGATGGTCGGAAACATGCTGAAATTTTGTTTAATGTCAAACAAGTTTTAAAGACAAATTCATTGATATGGCAGCAAATCCCACGTTCTTACAGAGACATTTGATTTGCCGACCAAAAGTATTCTGTTTGAAACAAATCAATGTTTTAATACGATATCAGTTACTAACATCAGACCATACACTAACCTTTTTATGACAACAGAACCTAAATCGACCCACGGCTGGGTCAGCTGCCCGCCACACGAGGAGGATGCCGAGTTGAGGGAGAAAAGTGCCGCCCGGAACAAAGTATGGTACAACTTCTTCTCCAAGAAGGATTACTCCAAGACTGAAAACGGTATTTCATGTTTAATTACTTAACTGGTTAATCAATTTCTACACATAAACATCATCGGGAGCAAAAATATCAGCGTATTAATCTCATCTCTTCAAACTCATTTATTAATATTCTGCGTCTATTGATATTTTTTATCAAGATTTCAATTTGATATTCAAAATTTAATTCCAATATCTAATTTCATTTTCACATCATAACACAAATGTGATCTTTATTTGATTCCAGAATCATTCTGTTTCAATGTGATGAAGAAACACAGATCGACGAAATCTCTAAACGACATCTTACTCACAGTAAGTAAATGAGCAGCATTTCTTATCATTTCTAATTATGGTCCGTTCATACACTACGACTAAGTAAAGTCATCATAAGGATCCTTGTCCCCCCCAGAGACAAAACACTAGGAAGTTCCAATAGTATACATGGAGTAACTTCCCCTTCCTTTCGGTTTGGATGTACAACCCTTGGCCCTTGATGTAGCTCAGTTGGTAAGAGTGACAGTACCATGATAGGATGTACACGGTTCGGATTCTCGTCTTGCCCCGTTGCACTTAAATCTCAGAACGTTCATATTGATTTTTTTTTTCATTTTATCTTAATCATTTTTTCTTAAAAGTTCCCCAAGGTTTAAATTTTAAAAGATTAATCAGAGCTATAGAACTCGAAAATCAATACTTTGTCCCTTTTTAGCAATTGTTGCAATCGTCGAATTCTTACCTTGTCTCAGCGTGGTATGCAGTCTACTTAAAATATTCTTAAAAATCTACCCAACCCCCGTATTGTTCCTTTGGGTCCCATTTAAATAGATAAACAGTTTTCATTCATTACTGAGCTGCAATAAAAATATGTATATTTACAAACTTTACTCTTTGTCGTTTTAGCGTAAACCAACTGATGACGTCATCGGCTCACCAGCCTCCGACAGCTACAGCGTCTGATTTGTCCTAAGAAGATACCACGTTTTTTATCTTCTACTTATTCGAGACATTTTATTGCGACTGATGACAGATTGTTTATAGATATTTAACTGATCATTTGACTTATAAAATTCATTAAATATGAAAACATTAACAAACTATCCATCTTTTTATTGCGGTGAACGCGACACAGAGTCACGTTTTTTTTAAAAATCTTTACATAATTATATACAATTCTTTTCAGGAAAGGAAAATTATTGTTTTGGTGAATATTGTACCACGTTTTGATATTAAGAATAAATCAGTATCAACTGACATCCCATTTCTGTTGTTACTTTGTGGAGCTCTATCATCAACCATTTACTAGGTCAGGCTATTCCATCTAATGTTTTGACATGTACGTGTAACAATTGTTTACTTTCCAAGTAAATACGTATATGCGCAAACGATGAAAAAATGTTAGATCAAGAAACCCTCCCTAACTGATCATATTTAATGGTTGTATTATTGCATTGGCTAGTGATTAATGTACCGGTGCCTTTGTATACTGATATCTCATTGCAAGGAATATTGTATGCCATGGCATTTTGTGTTTTGTTGTATTGATTCGCTGATGAACAACCTGTCCAAGGGATAATACAGAACTTGAACGATGTGTAGCTGCTTGGTCCGACCAACGGAAAACTGTAGGGGAAACCTATAATATATAATCGTCCAGACATGCGCACTCTTGTTTCTGCACACATGCGCATCGTTTACCATCGATATTGGCCATACTTTCGTATCAGACCGATACCCATGCATGTTTGTCTCGAGGGCTGTTATTGGTCGAGTCCATCAAACTTCTAAATTGATATATGTCACTCCTGCATCATGTCCACCAAAATTCTACATTGAAAGGTCTCCTCCGCATAATGATCAAACCCCACTGAACTTATACCAGCGCATCATACATGTATTTTTATACTGATAACATACATTCATGTTGACAATTAATAAATCCCACAAGTGTATCAGCCACATTGAGATAGCTAGTGATTTAGCCGAACAGGTTTAGTATGTTATACATGTGAAGATACACGGAAATATTACAAAACAAAATTACTGGCATTTGAAATAAGCAATATCACATGCAGTATGGAAGATTTATTTCATCGATAACTTGTCTTTTTAAAAAGAAATAAAATACGAGGTGAATGTGAAACTCACAGGAAATGTAAAATATGCCCATCATGATTTTAAAATTCCATTTTATCATTACAGCTTCAAACATTATCCTAAAACAAAATGTCAAAAATATTAACGATCGTGCATGTGTTAGATAATTTACTCGTCAACATATTAAAAGCTATTTTTTTTTTTTTTTTCATCTTGCTTAGCATTTATATGATAGATTGTAAATATCAAAGTACCAATTAAAAATAATTTAACCACAAAACACCGATTATTGAATCATTATGGTCCATTATGTTCCTGTGTAAGTACGGTATATATACTTTCCCTGTGTATGGCACTCTACAGTCCC